TAAGAGTGGGGTTATTGTTTATATTCTACATAAAACACCATCCATGAAACAATACCTTACCTCTTAATCTATTAGGCATATAAACTCATTTCTATCTCAAAGAAGGTCCTTTATGAATAAGTATTATTTTATAAAATTTCTTAACTTTATATCCATGACAATTTATATAGTACCTATATATTCTCTCTTTTGTTTATTAGTTGGCCTTAGTTGGTATTAGATACCAAACTCTTCCAATCCAATAACACTATTGACCAATCACCTAGATATATCTGGCTTAGTAGGAATTTATGGAAAAATGTTAATTAATCAAGACAATAACTTAGTGTGTTTGGAAGTAAGGATTTAACTTCTTAATGTCGTATAAAGTTTTGTAAGTATAGTACACTAGATTCGCACCCCATTCTCTTCTCTAACTGAAATAAAATTTATATGTTATGTTGCCTACATCTAAATACAAGAAGAGGCTTTCACCCTTTTTGACTTATAAGAAGAATTTTGCAAAAGATAAATGAGCCTTGAACTCTTTAAAAGCTTATTAGCAATTTGAAGTCGATTAAAAATTAAAGATTTTCTTCAACATTTTGAATAATAATAAAAAAATATTTCTAAAATAAATATGTTAAGATTAATTACTCTTCATGTTAGTCTATGTACATATTTCACATACAAGGAAGGTATCATATCTAGGATGTCATGAACCTTCTTAAGATTTCACTTTATCCCCTTACTACTAACTAAAAATCTTAAGATTTTTCTTCTTTGATGGTGAAGACACACCTAATCAAATTCAACTTTAATTTATATTAGTATAGAATAGTGAAAAACTTTTAGAGATTTTATATGTGTTGTTAAAATGTTAAGTTATTCATTAGCATATCATTAGTATAAGCATCTATGTTCCTACCCAACTTATCCTAAAAGACCTTATTCACATCTTTTTATAAATGAATCCTATATTATTAAGCCTAAAAGGCATATCCTTAAAATAAAACATCATGTTAGTTATCATAAAAAATATATTCTCTTCATCTTTGAGGAGTATGGGAACCTAGTGCTAACCTAAGTTCACATCTAGTAAGCTTAGGAATTAGAACTCGATCATGGAGTCCATAAACCTAGTTATCTTTGATAAAGAAAGTTTTCTTTCAGGCATGTTTTGATGAGGTCAATGAAGTATACATATGTATACATTCTCCACTTCTCATTACTTTTTTCATCATAACTATATTTGCTAGCTACTCAAGGATACATCACTTTCCTAAAATTATCTTACTTTAGTGGATAAAAAAAGATGAGGGGTTCATATTTAGTCTATGACAACCCTATAAGGTTGATGCTTAGATATACTTACAAGTCCAGAAGCTAAGTTATCTTTTTTTTTTTCCTTATTATTACTAAGGAGCTTTATTAAAGATTGTTTTTACTTAAATTCTAAGGTGGACTTAATCTTGTTCGTAGTATTAACATTTTTATTATGAAGGTCAATCTCCTATAATTGTTCCATAACCTTGGTGAAATGCTTTTTTATTTCTTTTATGGGCCTATCTTAGTCCATCGTTAAGGCCTTTTTATCTTTTTACATATGTGAAGGTGAATCTTTTTCAACTTATTTAATTCCTTTAAATATGGTCACTCTTTTTTCAATAGGGTTTTTTTGGTCAAATACAACATGTTGATTGTGATGTCGACCTCACGAATGAAGGATTGACTAATGATGATGTTGCAGGCCAAATTTATCTTAATCACCATGAAGGTCTATTAAAAAAATCTTGTAATAAGGATATATATAAATGGTGACTAGTATCTCAATGTCACCCTATATTAGCACATATTTCCCATTTATCCTTATAAATAAAGTCCTAACCAAAGTTAACTGGGAGCTATCAATGCTTATCTCATGCATTATTTCATAGGAAAAAATGTTAATCGTGCTCTCAGCATCCACTAATATTTTATGTATTATATAGTTAGAAAGAAAGATGGTGATTATTAAAGCATCTTTATAAGGAAAAACTACACCATCCCTATTATTTGGGTTGAGGGCAATACACTTATTTTATGGATTTGGGTATGAAAGGTTATTAATACCTGCTTTTCATAAGCTTTTATCTTTCAGCAAGAGTCTTATATATATAAACCTGTTTAGGAACACATTGATTTCGAGTAACACCTCGTGATGAGTGTCAACCTCCTTGTCTATTTGAGCTCTTCATAAAATTATTAGAGTATAACAAATCTTAATGTCATATACTCTATCTTCATAGAATATATAATACTTTTCTACTTGTAAATATGAGCATCATATTTTATTATGGGGTATTACATGAATTATTTATCTTTGATGCCAACAAGGATTTTTATTCAAGTTGTATTCAAAGGCTTGGTTGAGAGTTTTAGAAAAAATGAGATGATTATGACCTAATTCTTTTAAATTCTTCTTATGAGGAGATCGATTGCACTTAAAGGACTTTTAATTGTACTTCTGGAGGAATGTTTGGAGATCAATTGCACTTAAAGGACTTTTAATTGTACTTCTAAAAGTGTAGGCAAGTTTATTTGGCTACACTTGCTCCTCCTATTTGAATATGATTTTTCATGAATTATTTTACCTTTAAAATGGTTATCATATTAGAAAAAGCATACAACTCTCTCTATGAAGTTGGGTCTAGTGATTGTGATGGTATTTGTAAGAAGATGATTGCTATAGTAATGGAGATAGTGATATTAAGAGTGAATAATGGTTATGTTAAGGTTTTATTTGACTTAAAAATTGGACTATAATTGTAGCTCAATTATAGCTACGAATGTGTTTGTAGTGGTAGTTAAGGAAAAATATTTGGCTAAAAGATATATTGAAATATATATTATAAATAATATAGAAAAAAACTAGAAAAACTTCAAATTAGAGTTTCTTAAAGTTTTTATAACTTCGATTTTTTTATATATAAAACCTAAAATAGACTCCATGAGTAATTTTTTATTAACAAATGAGTTTGAATTGGATTTTTAGTTAAAAACCAATAATAACAAAATGATAGTGACAACAACAATGACAACTAATGATAATTGTTGTCATAATAATGAAAACGTAAAGGGATAATGATAAGATGATGAAAAAATGATGGTTGCACTGTAATTATATAAAGGATAAGATGATAGTAATAATAATTATAATAAGAGTATTGTTGCAAAGAGGATAATGATTATGATAGTAATTATTATTAAATAATAATTTTAATGAATCTTATGAGTTATTAGTGACAAAAAAATATTTTTTTCTATTTTTATGAGATTAAATTATTATTTTTAAAATTAACTATTTAGAGATTAATTAAAAAATGATTTAGATTGCTTGATTTTCTAATATTTGTTTTATATTAAAACAGAAGAAATATCTTCCAAGAAACAAATCCCAAGTTAGTTAATTTTCTCATTAATAATTGAAAATGTTATGCCCTGCATTAATAACAAAATTTCTTTTTACCTCTTCAAATGAAATCTTTAATGAAAATTATTAAGATCTTTAATAGTTAATCATGATAGTGAAATTAGAGAAACATACTAAGAAATTTAGAAAATTATACTAGTAAAATTACTAGAGAAACATGAAAAATCCTTTAAACAGGGTGATTTCACAACTAGAAATTTTAGAAAAAAAGGATCAACAACAATGTATTTATGACGCAATTGTCTACAAAAGACTTAATAAAAGTAAGTTAAAAAATAAATTATGTTTACCAAGTAATTAGTGAATTGATACATATTTTAAAAAAAAACATTTTTTTTTTGAAAATATATAAAAATAATATTATTTTAAAAAAAATTAATATATCAAAATCATCAAAATAACATTAAACAATATAAATTATTTTTTTTATAAAAACAAAACATGGCTTTAACCTTGAGCGGAAAAATAAGAGAATGGCACCGGAAAAGAAAAACATGGGACGTTCAACAAATGGCACTTTCTTCTTTCCACACCTAACATCAGCAGCATGATGACGTTCAACAAATGCTCCCACTCACATCCATTATTCATTCATGATAGAAAAACACCTGCAAATGTTGTTTTAGGTATTTTTAAAAATATTTTTTATTTAAAAATATATTAAAATAATATTTTTATTTTTAAAAAATTATTTATAATATTAGTACATTAAATTAATTTAAAAACATTAAAAAATATTAATTAAAAAAATAACTATTTTTTTAAAAAATACTTTAAACTATAAAAATAAACATGAAAAAGCCCTCGAATAAAGTGATCAAGCCGTGCCATTTCTTTGAATGTAAATATGCCCTTTCACTTTTATATGTTTAAAGCCGGTGCTTTGGAGTTTGCACAGAGAGGTGCAGGTGAAAATGAAGGCCTTGCTTCCTGTGCCTTTGGGCATTCTATAATGCTAGCATGGGCAGAGTTTTTCATGGCATATTTAAAACATTTTAAGCTCTGTAATGGAGTGAAAATGTCGATAAAATGGATGAATATATCGTGACTAGAAGCAAACAAGGCATGTGATCGCCACTCCAGGAATCTAACCAGCCTGAGTCCAGCAGACTCTCTTGATTCTGGGGCTGATTAGAATTGTGTTCTAATCGATTTATTTATTTTTAAATTATTTTTAATGTGATATTATAAAAAAATAGTTTTAAAAAATTAAAAAATATTATTTTAAAATAAAAAACACGTTAAAACATCAACAGCAACCTACATCAACAACACCCATAGAATAGCCATAAAATAGCTACTGCCGGCCCATATTATTAATCACCTCTAACCACTATAAAAAAGTTCAGCTGTCAGCCTCATCTTTTCACCAAAGGTCGTTTTACGAGGGTTACAGTGCATAAATTTAGATGTTTCAGGGTAGATGGGTAGTTTCAACAGGGTTCTCTAGTTGTTTTTTTGGACTATATGTAGATATCTATAAAAGGTATCGTTTAAGAGTCGTTGCAGATAAGCTATAAGCGGTCTAGGGTTTGCTTATAAGGTCAGGATTTCACGATGTAATTGCCAGCACCGAAATCATCTGTGTTTCTCTTTCATCTCTGTAGATATGCAGTTGGCTTCAACTGGCTTTTAGATGGCGTCTTTTTTGGTGGTTTTCTCCCCAAACCCTTCTGTTCTTCCTTGTATTTTCTCTTATTTTTTATGGCTTCGATATTAGTTATTGGGAACAAAATTGATATGTGCCCTCTCTAGATTTCTCAGGCCTTGCCTCATCTTCTCTTTTACCTGTTTTCCGTGTTTCCTTCCAGACGACGTATTGTCTAGGGTAAGGGAAGAGTGAAAAGTTGAGGTCAAACAGATCTGTAACTTTATGCGAAATAAAACTGGGATATAGTTGTTTTGACTTGATATTAGGGTTGTAATCTATGTATTTATTGCTGTTTGTTTGTTGTTGTTGGTTTGTCAGGAATGTGTTAGGGTTTCGATACCTTGTTTTTTCAAAGCTGAGATGAGTGATGGATTATGGAGTGGAGCTCCTTGAAGTCCAATAGAAGCTCCTGCTGGGTAGATCGAGCTGCTGAGCTATGAATCCCACAGCCCTATCACCACCAGTTACTCTGATGGGTCTGCGGCTTGCATATCTCAGGAGCTTTATTACCTAATGTTAGATCTTTTTTTGGATTGAAGGGAGCTCTAAACCTTCGATCTTTTCAGCCAGCCTTCTGCATCTTAAAATCTTTTGCTTATTGCTTTTTGGCAGTTTTCTCTTGTACAAATTCATTACCGCTGTTTAGAATATTTTATCTGCTTAAAGCACTTCGTTTTCAGCTCTTTTCCTTGACCATGCTTTTCCGTTGCAGGGAACTGATTACTTGAGTTGAAGCACTTGGCTTTGCTATTTTTGTTAGTGGAAGCTGACTGCATCTTCAAGTTTGCATGGATCTGCTGATCTATTTCAAGCTTATTAATTAGAAACTCGAGTGGTTAGATCACCTGCAGTGCAGCAAATTTAATTCGCCCGTACATGCTCTTATTAAATAGTTAGATACAGATGAAATATATTTTATAGTATTAGTTTAGAAATATATTAAAATAGTTTTATTTTATTTTTTAAATTTCAGTTTTGCAAACACTTTCTTAATATTCAAGATAACATGAATCATATATAAGCTTGTCATCCGTCATAAGGTATCTATAGTTCATATGCTGACGATTGCTCCCTTGTACTTTCCTGTTCTCTGCTTCTGAAAGATAATTTCACAAGAGTAACTTGTAATTTATTTTAATCAGAAAAGGTTCCGTAAAAGGTCCATGATATGTTAGGTTAAATATACTGACGTGCTTATTTTTTCTAGAGCGTATCTGTTTTGTTAGTTTTATTTCAATAATTTCCTTAGGAACAAAATGTGTTTAAATTTTGTAGATGTTCTTGTGTATTCTTGTGTCCAGTAGGCATAATGGACAACAATGAGGCCACTGGTTCTTTGTGTCGTTTGTACCATCGGCAAGTGGAAGAGCACCAGGCCACGGAAATTCCTGCGCATCTTTAAGACTCCCAACTTCCATGTCCTTCATAGAATGAGGAAAGGCGAATTCGGTGGCTATATATAGTGTTGTTAGGCAGGCGGGGTTGATACTTGATAGTCGAAGTTTCTTGCTGGGCTTCAATAGTTGATTTCAGAGCTTTTTGTGCTGATGTTCTTCTGGCTGCATGTAGTCAGATTTCTTGATCTCGTTTATACACCATCTTATTGATGGATTTCCTCTCTAATAACACTGTTTATATTCTTATTATACAAAAAGAAGTGAAATAACCCAAGTTTCGGAGCACAACAACAGCTGTGTACTAAAATCAAGCATGTAAAGCATATATGAGCCTGTGTTGTGTTGACATGGTCATCTGATGCGTTGTTGAATTTGTTTACTTGCTTCTAATGCGGTTTTTCATAATTGAAGGATCAAGTTTAACCAAGCTTCAAGGTAGCCTTGCACGTTGTTAGAAACAACTAGATAGGTGGCGTGTGATGTTGTCGGATAAGATTTTTTTTTACTACAAAAATGTCAGACAGCCAATGCTTGCAGTGTTTTAAATAAGTGAAAGAAATTTCGGTGTCCAGTCGTTGGACAAGATTTTGTAACATGCAGTAAAAAATTCAGACATTGATTGCGTGTTTTGAAGAAATAAAAAAGTTGACTCATATAATGTACAAGACTGAGACATTTCATCTAATTTTAAATGATAAAAAATAAACAACGATAATTATATAACATAGATCATAATGACATGTACAAAGAAAGGAAATTCATCACAATGACAAGAAAAAGAATGCTTATGAAAAAAAGTATAAGACTTCTGTTAAAAAATATTGTCAAATAATTAAATAATAAATAATCAAATAAAATAAAATAATCGACTTATGTCGATTCTGAGACAATAGACTAAAAGGATGGAAATGAACAATTAACTTATCTTGAGACAAATTAACTAAAAAATTCCAAATAATCCAAACTTAGGATGGAAAAAAAAAACTAAAAGGATAAAAATGAGGTAATAAATTCAAGCAAATTTGTTAAACCTATGAATTGAATTATGAAAATAAAATAATTTAATAAAATGTTTTTTATAAAACATAATTCTCAATTGAAAAAGGGTAAAACAAATAAAAAATCTTTACAAACACAAAATGCAATCTTTACAAAATAACCTAAGAGAAAAGACACTCTTCAAATCTGCTATCTAAGTCATGAGCCTAGGTTAACATCGTACAAGTAAAAGTGAAGAAAATCACAAAGCTTAAATGATCCGGTTCATGAAAATAAGATCACCCAGTTTAAAAAAAAAAATGAAGCTCAATTTTAATAAAAACAGACATGTTAGAGGATTAAATTAAAAAAATATATTTAAACAAGATTCAAAGAAAAAATAGTAATTAAAATAACAAGAACTAAAATTGATATAAAAATAAAGTAAGAGCCCAATTAAAAAAGAATATGAAAGGATGAAATTGAAGAAAAAATTAATAAAAAAATAAGAATTAAAATTGAAAAAACAATACCTTTATATTTTTGTTATATGCAAACCTCAAGGTGAGAAGAAAGAAAAGAGGAAAAAAAAAAAAACATCACCCTTTTCAAACCATTGTTAATTATAACAATAAATAAAATTGCTCAGCGTTTTCACTATGGACTGCACAGTGTAATCCATAGTGAAACATTGAGATGTCTTTATCTTTTTTTTTTTGTTTTTTATATTTTTTTTGCTTTTGCTTTGTTTTTTGCTTTTGTTTTTTCTTTGGTTTTTTAAGTTTTTTTTAACTAATATTTTCTTGTTAAATTTTTTTATTGATGTTAAATTTTTTTCTATTTAATTATCAAACTTTCATGACACGGATTTTGCATTTGACAGGTCAACCCAGATTGTTTTCTGGTTTTTCTTTTTAATTAATTTTTTTGTTTAATTTAGTTTGTTAATGTTAAATTTTTTCTATTTGATTATCAAATTTTCATGATAAGCATTCTGGGTTTGACAGGTTAACCTAGCTAATTTTATGTTAACCTAATTAATTCAATTTTTTTTTCTTTTTTCTCATTATTTTTTTCTTCATGTAAGCTTTTTTTTTATTTTTTTTCTTTTAAATTATTTTTTTAAAATTTAGTTTGTTAATATTAAACTTTTTTCTATTTAATTATCAAATTTTCATAACAGATTCCAGATTTGATGGGTTAAACCTAGTTAATTCAAAACAAATTTTTCATTAGTTTTTTTCTTCACGTAGGTTTTTTTTCTTTTTTTTAATTAATCTTTATTTTGTTTAATTTAGTTTATTAATATTAATTTTTTTCTATTTATTTATTACACTTTCATGACACGAATTTTAGATTTGACGGGTTAACTTGATTTGATGAGTTAACCTAGTTAATTCAGATTTTTTTTCTTTTTCTTCATTAATTTTTTCCTTCCAATTTCATCTTTTATAATTAACCCATAGTGAAAAGACTTGGCACTTTTTTTTCATTTCTTTTTGTTTTTTTAATGAATATTTTTTTTGTTTAATTTAGTTTGTTAATGTTAATTTTTTTATTTAGTTATCAAACTTTATGACACGGATTCCAGGTTTGATGAGTTAACCCAGATTTTTTTTCTGGTTTTTCTTTCTAATTAATTTTTTCATTTAATTTAATTTAGTTTGTTAATGTTAATTTTTTTCTATTTAGTTATCAAACTTTCATGACACGAATCATAGGTTTGACGGGTTAACCCAGCTAATTCTAGGTTAACCCTTAACTTTTTTTTTTCCTATTAAGTTGTTAAACTTTCATGACAGAATCTCAGGTGTGACTGGTTAGTCTGGTTTGAAGGGTTAACCTAGTTAATTCAGATTTTTTTTCTATTTCTTTTTTTTTTCATGTAGGCTTTTTTTTCTTTTAAATTAATATTTTATTTGTTTAGTATTTTTTTTCCATTTCCTTTTTTTTCTTTTTAATTATTTTTTAAAATTTAGTTTGTTAATATTATTATTTTTATTTAGTTATCAAACTTCCATGACATGAATCTTAGATTTTATGGATAAACTTAATATGACGGGTTAATCTAGTTAATTCAGATTTTTTTTTCTTTTTCTTCATTAGTTTTTTTCTTCATATAGGGTTTTTTCCTTTGTTTTTTATTTTTAATTAATTTTTTTTAATTTAGTTTATTAATATTAATTATTTTCTATTTAGTTATTACACTCTTATGTCACGAATCCCAGATTTAACAGGTTAACTTGATTTGTTAGGCTAAACAAGTTGATTCAGATTTTTTTTCTTTATTAGTTTTTTCTTTCAATTTCATCTTTAAATATTGTAATTAACTATAACTAAAAGACATCAATCTTTTTTCTTTCAATTTCATGACACAAATTCCAGATTTGATGGATTAACCTAATTTGAAGAGTTAAATCGGTTAATTCATTTTTTTCTTTTTCTTAAGTATTTTTTTCCTTTCAGTTCCATCTTTTAATATCGATTTGATTAAGAATTAAATTTTATAATTTTTTATTTACTGTTTATTAGATTATTGTGATCTCATGAGGGGATTTTCTTGTACTCCTCCTTACAAAACACTCTTCATCGGAATAATGCTTTGCTTTATTATTATTATTTTTAATTAATATATATTTTTTAATTTTATTATGTAATATTAATTTTTTTCCTTTTCAATTATCATACTTTTATAACAAGAACTTGCAACTAAGGACATATCTAAGATTTCGAGGTTGACATTATAGCCCAACTAAGTTAAACTTGAATGATAAAAATTTAATATTATTATTAAGATTATAAATATAACTTATAAGTTACTAGTAGACATAACCAATATTTTTAAATATAACTTTATAAAAAAATTTAATATTTTTAATTTTTAATTTTTTAAATATTTTTTATATAAAAAAATAATCCGTCATATAACACACCACGTTTGTAGTCAATGAATATGAGCCATAAAAATGAATAACCTTGCCACGATGCTTCAAGTGACATGATGGATGCCGGTAATTGTCCATCAAAGAAGGCTACGTTCAGCGTTTGAAAGGTAGTACGCCTCCTCCACTTTTACCTGCATGTGGGTAATGTGCTAGCCTAATTGGTTTTGCTTTTCAACCCAGTCCAAAGTTTGTTTTGGTTATAATCTTGGTCCCTAGAAATCTAATTACTTTATATCAATAGAATTTTTTTTACCAAACTATGCATCAACTGAGAGCTAGAATTTTTACGCGACATTGCAAAAACTTCTTATTTAGTTAAACAAAACAAATCATAAAATCAATTTGTAAATAAAATCAATATGAATGGATCAAATAAAAAAAAGTTGGGCAACTAAAATTAAAAAAAAAACTTTTCCCGTGTACAAATCCATTTGTTATATTATCAAAGAAATGAGATTAAATATTTGTCTAAATCTCAATTTATTTTTGCAAAATTAAACATTAATCAAGCGCTGGTACATCTCACTAACACCGCAGGAGACCTATACACAATAGCAAGAAACAAATCTTCAAAACCAATTGTGAATAAATGCAATATTAAAGAGACAAATAAAAAGTAAAAAAAAAAAATTGAGAAACCAAAATGTAAAAGGTTTTAGAGAGAAAAAAAGAAAAAGAGTTCAAATAAACAATATTTATTCTTGTAAGAGATTGTTTGAAATTATAGTTGCAATTATTTTTTGAAGTATTTTTTATTTAGAAATGGATTAAAATAATATTTTTTTAATTTTTAAAAATTATTTTTGATATTAATATATTAAAATGATTTGAAAACACAAAAAAGTATTAATTTAAAGTAAAGAAAAAATAAAAAAATAAAAAAAAATTTAAAAATGTTTTTGAAATACAATTTTTTTTTCAGGGTTTTTATGTTTTTGTTTATTAATAAAAAGAGGATATGAGCAGGTGGTCATTTGGAAGCTGGAAAGTATGTTCAAACTTCTAACCTAACAAGAACGCAGGAGGTTGGGGGTTGACTAGTTCCATAAGAACGTGGCTCTAGTGGGTAGATTGGTTGTGGGCTGTGGTGTTTACTTCAGAGGCTGATTCTTTGTGGGTAATTGCTCTTCTTTACCATTACTGCCTTGCCCAATTTGCATAATGCAACTATCTCTCGATTTTTCTTGATAGAGTAGCATAATGTTAAGGGGATTCTTTCTTCTTCTTTTTTTCAGGAATCCTAGAGATAGAGAAACTACATATCTTCTCATTTTACTACCATTCTTGATGATTTCTCATTTGCAGGAACATCAAATTGTAGAGCTTGGTCTTGGATG